TTTCCTGTTCTTTTTTGAGAGCTGTCAATTGAATTTCAGGACCAATGTCTATTGTCTTTTATGCTTGCAGCTGGCTTAGAGCACAAAACCTCCTACTGCAAAAATAACACATGTGCGAGTGGAATTTTAGAGTTAATTTTAAGTTGTGCAGAAATGTATTTGCTTTTGGGCTTTTCATTTTTATCTGCTGATTATTTGTAAGTACCATTAATTAGTTACGCTTATTGCTGCCATGGTTTTGTTGCTTAGAAGTAAGCAAAATTAATTCAAGATTTCAACTTAAAATGCAATTTGCAATGGAAAAGAAGATTTTACTCAATTTTCTTACTAATTAATGCGAGCATTTGATTGCCACTAGAAAAGTTTCTTATTGGGAGTGAGGCTGCAAATTTGTTTGGAATAATTTGGAGCTACAAATTTGGACTCTCAATCGATGCTTGAATCCTGCTTCAGTTTCTGCTTCTGCAGTTCCGTGTGCTCGGTCCTGCATTTTGTGCAGTTCTCAGTTTGTGAAATGACAGGTATTGTTTTCTTTTTTTTCCACTCACAGATTGTCACAGAATGGTTGAGGAGGAACTGTGACCAAGAGAGGGACACTGTGGACTCTGGCAAACTGTACGCTAATTGACACTTGGCTACTCGACTCGCCACTGAGCCCTCTCCGATAAGATGGGGCATGAAAGGGCAAAAGTTTTTCGGTTTTCGTTTTGGTTTCCTCTCTTTTTTTCTCCATTCTCCATTGCATGCCCGCAGGCGTTAAGTTCTGCTGCAAATATCATTTTGTGGGCGGTGCGGGTGGTTGCAGGCACTGAGCTGCGTTCATTGAGAACAAAATGTGAAACTTTTTAATTGACTTTTTCAATTACAGTTTAATTTTGTTGTAAGAAATGTTGGGGCACTGCCAATTGAAGTTTTGCCTTGGCCAAAAGAGCGTCCGAGAGAGATGCGGGACTCACACTACGGCTAATCTATCATTGTCCGCTGTTGAATATTCGTGTGTGTGTGTGTGTGTGTGTGAGTGTGTATATGTGTGTGTTTGCAATTTGCAAAACTTCAGAAACACGCACAGGCGGCGGCAAACGGCAGGCGGCAGGCGGCGCACAGAGTGCCCGAAAACCCATCCATGCCGCCTGCCCCCCCTTTCAGACACTCGCAAAATCTAAATTTATCTGCAACATAAAGAAAAGTGGTGCCTGCGATAGTCGAAGCTTGGAATACACTGGAGAATGGGCAAGATTTCTGTGGCATTTCCTTTGAAGTGCTTTCGATTTCATTCCATTCCGATTATTCGATCATGGAAGCCACTCCGCCAGTCGCTTGAGGGCATAAATAAATGCACTCAAAATGTCTTCCACAGAATCGCTACTGCCTCTCCTCAACGGAGTGTACTCTGAGCGCTCCTTCCCTGGACATTGAGTGCATCCAGTGGGAAAAAAACATGGAAGGAAAACGCTTTAGAGCACAAGGCGTGGCCGTGGCAGATTGCATCTTGGAAAACATTTCCTTCAAGCACTTTTTATTATGACCAAAAAAGAGAGACTGCGAGGAAAAGTGAAAAAGTTGTTTGTTGCTTTTGGTTTCGGAGAGTATTAGAGCCTCGGGAGATATGTACATATGTGACAGGTATGAAGAGTGCTCCAAAAAGAGTGCATAACTGATGGGGCAGAGACTTCGCCACAGAAATCAGCCGCAAATATTAGCCAGCAGAAACGGAAAGGGCAGTGGAATAATTTCGCTGCCACATGGACATGATGCATTGTCTGTTACGGGAAGTGGGGGTAGATTGGTGTGGGGTGTGTGTTGTTTTTTTGTTGTGCCAAAGCAAACATGTTACATTTATCTTTCTCGGGGATAAAAGCAGACAAAAAACGAAGCAAAAATACAACAAGGGGAGCTGCTCAAAGTAGTCGACTTGCGGGTATCTCAAGTGGCAGAGAAAACAGTGACATACTGGCAGTACTTATATGCCCCACAGCAGCCACGATTTACAGGGTAACAGCACAAAGGCAATAACAGAGATACGAGAGCGCTGAGAGAGCAGCGAGCAGAAACCAACAAAAGCACCGAAAATGAATGTGGAAAGGTGGAGGGAGAGCCTTTAGCCACGTGATGATGGGGTGCGGGGGTCAAGCTCTGGTCAAAGCCAAAATCGGAAGGATAATGGCAGGGCTGGGCGAATCCACCTGGTACGTTGTTCAATGTCCTCGAATTAATCCCCAGCGTACACTTTTGCACGGAACGGAATGGAATGGAACGGCATGGAATGAAGCGACGAATGTGTTTGGGTCGAGGCTCCATTTTAATTGAATAACGACACGAACGAAATGTTATGTTGTGTTGATAAGATGATAAGATACCAGAGAGAGAGCGAGAGGCCCCCAGAGAGCTGCGTGTCCTCACAAATCACAACGGAAATGAATGGCAGGGGCATTACCCTGGATTTGAAAGTAACAGCCAATAGCCCCGCGGCTGGCAGCCTTTTGTGGCTTTGTCTTTGCGTTTCCCTTGAAAATTGCGTCTGTTCAGGTCTCGTTTCTGATGTGTATTAGTCCCGCTCCTATCTGTTCTTTTTTTTCTATGTTGACACGTTGATACGAGGACTATCTACTATTCCCGCAGACACAAATCCCCTGCTAAAGCCTCACCACATTTACATACAGATGGTGTTCATATGTGAGTTTGTGGTGGGTGGGGGGAAACTCGTTGGCTCATAACCCTAGATTGCCACTTGATTTGTTCCTTCCTTTTTATGCACATTTGTCCCGGGCTTTATCCTCTATTGTTCCACTGTTAGCCTCCCCGTTTGCTCTGCCTTTTTTATGACCCCGCCTGCCCTGCCCTGCCCTCGCTGAATGCCGTGACGCTTCTGGCATTGGCTTTGACAGATAGAAAGAGAGCGAGAGAGAGAGATAGAGAGCAGCAAGGAATGCAGAAGGCACGGCAGCTCCCAGCTCCTGGCATCTGTAATCACCGCTGTGAAATTCTGTGACATGCGATATTTATTATGCAAATATTGGCAGGCCACAAATCCTGTTAGCCTGATTGTCTTTTCTCGGACGGAGTGATTGGCTCCGTACACTTGTGACCATCAAACTGTGACTTCTGTTGGCTGTTGTTTTTTGCGTTTATTTTAATTGTCTTGAAGCTCTTTCTCTCTCTGCTCGTAAACTTGATTTTCTGAGCATCTCGGAATTTGTGCATTTAATGCGCGACAAACTTATACCCCAGCCCAAAATTAGCGTCCATTAATTAAGTTGTCTTTGACGGATTGACGTTACACTCATGGCCTCCTAAGTCGCTCACTCATTTCGCTGCTGCTGCCTCCGCCTCTAACTCTACAGCTGCCTGTGCTCAGTTCCTCCTAAACCTCTCACTCCGCTCTACCCAATACCTCCACCCAAGGTGAATTTACTTTAAGGTGACGTTCTCCGCTGTGGTGAGGTCCAAGCACTAATTCCCCACGCTCTCTCGGCTCTCAGAGAGACAAGCGCCAGAAAGGGATAGAGATAGAGATATTGGTTCGCGAAAGAGATTGCCCTGTGGTGAAGACGTCACCTTAAAGTAAACTCACCTTGGCTCCAGCTCTCACTCTGCTCTTCCCCATTCCCTTTCCACTGTGTTCACCGTTACTCTGCTCTTTGCCCTGTGGTTTGTGGCTGCATCCCAGGCAGCGCGGCGGGTCATTCGAGAGGAAGAATCTCTCTTCCAGGTTGGTGGTCGCTGCAGATAATTTCCGGCGCTTGTCAAAGTTTGGAGCGTCGCTGCTGCTCCTGGCCTCGCCTCACCTCAACTCACTGTCTGACATTAATTTATCATCCACTGCCACTCCACGCGCTAAGCATTGCTGGGGGCGGTTTGCGCTTTAATAGATCATTTGCTGCATCATCGCGCATATGCCGCGTGTTGTCCCAGCTAATCCTTCTTCTGCTTTCGATGGCTTGCTGTCTGTCTGTCTCTTTGCAAGGGCGGCAGTTGGTTGGTTTGTCACGTCGCCCCGCGTGAAAAGTTCTCGCATTTTTGCCGCACGCACGCACACACTTTCCCAGGGCCACACAAACACACACACACACACACACACAGACACAGTTGCACACGGCTGGCTCCTTGGCTTCACCATTAAATGTGGGCCACCGACAAGCGGAAGCCGGTGATGCCACTGCGGGGCTTTCCTTTTTGCCACTGACTCTGACTCTGCCAATGCCATTGCCTTCAGCGAAATCAGAGTAGTGCCCGTATCCGTGTCCTTGGCGTCCTTCCCGTCGTGCGCTGCATGCCGGTTGGTGTTTTATTTTTGCCAGCTTTTAGCAGACAGCAGCGCTCGCTGGACCAGAGGCTTTGGCACTATAATTCTATTATGGCCAGTAAAGGCAACTTTATGCCATCCACACGGGTTGTATGTGCAACGCAAAAAACAAAGAACACCAGACCACAAAAATCTTTGTGGCCAGACGCGGCTCCACCGCTTACCCCGTTTTAGCTTTCGTTTTTCATATCTGATGGCCCGCTGGCTGCTGTCCATTTTCATTTTCCCAAGCTCAGCGCTGTGCTGCGTGAATGTCGCGTTAGCTGCCATCATCAAATTACGAGCGGCTTTTGTGTGTGTCGCTGTGGTTCAAGGGGTGTGAGTAAAGCAGTGCGCGCACGATCGCGCACTGCTTTGGCCAAGTTGCAGGTAGATTAAGAGCAAAATAAAGCGGTGTGCGATGGAGTAGATTGAGCAGAAAGGCAAAGCAGTGCACACTTGATGGCGCACTGCTTAACCGTTATCTTAGCTCGACAACAGACAGCGAGCAAGCAGAGCAGCCTCTGACCGAAACACAAATTAATTCATTTCTAAGACGCAACCCTTTCCACTCTCACGCTCTGGGATCGCTCTCTCACTCTCTTTGGTCGTTCTCTTCATACGTAAAATCACGCATACGCCGCGTTGATCACCGCTAGCCGCCAGTCGCAGTCGCTGGCCGAAAGCAAAAAAAAAAACGATTCAAAGCGCGGCGAACCACTGAACGGTACGGTACGGAACGCCACACAGTACGCGGCACGGAATCATCAACGTTAGCCGCCGTCTGAATGGGATACCCCATAGCAGCACCTTCACACAGACCTCTGACTAACCTTTTGCCGCCGTTTAATTGTTGCTGCTGCTGCTGACCCATGGCCCGGCCAATGGATGATCGAGAGCGCGAGGCCATCTTGCAGACTCTGCACCAGGATGTGATGGCGCTCAAGGAGATGGTGCGGAATCGGGAGAGCGAGCTGGTCAAGCTGCACCGGGAAATACACAAGCTGAAGGTGAGCGAGAGGCAGCATAGCAGAGAGTCATTCAGTCATCATCCATCGTTGTCTGTCTGTTGTATTTGGCATCGCGTTTTTGTTTGGCTTTTGCTGGCGCTGTGTTTGCTCTGATAAGGCAGACGGGGGAAAGGGCTGCGGCCAGTCTGTGGTGTGGTTGCACAGCGACAAACAATTGTGCTGGTCTCTCGTTGTGTGTTTTTTTCGGACTAATTTCGAATGCGCAGAGATACAAAAGTATCTGCAAATACCCCACGCTTCACCCTCCCCTATCAATTGCGTCGCACATTGTTGTTATCTTTGATAGGAGGCGGAGATACCACAGAAGGCAGAGCAGCAGCAGCAACAGTAGTCTGCCGAGATATCAGATAGAACCCATGGCCCTACCCCACCACATAAGCAACATAGCGCGGGGTAAATAGATATGTACACTCGGTTTCCATCTACTTAAATTTGTACTTGAATATCGCTTGATTCTCATCTCTCTTCGCTGCCCGCTTGAATCTCTATTTGAATTGTAAAGCAGATTTATTGAGCCAAGAGATTAGCACTTCTGGGCGAGATATTTCGTAGAGGGCGAACACGACTTGACTTTGATTCCACACAACAAATCTCATCGCTCAAGTCACAACAAAAGCCAGAAGAGAATTGAATCGAATTGAGACTCTTTCGCTGCGCTCTCTCGGATATCTTGCGCCTCTCGAGCTGCGCCGCTAATTGCCGGATCACCTCCAACCATCTCAGAGGCAGCAGATCAGATCTTTGGGATTTGCTTTGGGCAAACAAAAGCCTAAACAGACGGAGGGCAGCACGCGCACAGCTCGAAAAAAACACAGACGGAAAAGAGAATTGAGCGCTTGTAGCGAAGAGCGTTTTGAAATGCTAATTTCTATGCAAATAATTTGGAAAACAATGCCAGCAGGAGAGTGTGGTGGAGGCACAGCCACAGGCCAATGCCAATGCGGCTTATCTTGTTTGCCCTTGTGCCCCGAGAGAGAGGTGGAACCTGGCCCAGCGGCGCCTCGGACTTGGGCTTTTATCTATTCGCGCTAGGTTCTTTTTTGGGTCAGTGATTTCAGGTTTTTTGCATTCTATTTGCGGACTATGATAAGGACAACAAACACGAAGCCAAACCCCAGTCCCAAGCAACATCACGCACCCACTGGTGGCACAGATGGAAACTCTACCCCCTCTGTTAGTTGTCATTTATGGCGCCCTCCCTGTCAGCGGCCCATTTGTGCCATTGATACGTAGCACGTGAATGCCACACAGCCACTCCGCTGCCTAATTGGGGGTAGCGGAATAGTCGTATCTGTGGCAGCATCACGCGTTGATTCCGGGCATTGATTGGGCCACTCAATTGGCTTGAGACTGAGACTGGTAATTGATTGGGCAAACGCTTTCCAATTTGTCGCCTACAGAGCGTGCTACAGCAGACCACCAACCATCTGAATGTCACCCGAAAAGAGCAGTCACCCACAAAGACAAAGCTCTACTCGCTGCCGGAGCAGTGTGGCGAGGTGAGCAGCAGCCATGTGAATGCACATTTGTGCACGTCCTGCGGCATGGTGCTGCCCAGCAATCCAGAGTTTGCGATGGAGGCGCTGTCGCTGGGTCCAGCAACAGGTACAGCAGCGGGAGGTACAGGAGCGGCTGCTGCGCCTGAGCTGCGACCTAAGCCCGTGCCAGCGGCCATCAAGAAGCAGGGCGTCTCCGCCGAGAGCTGCGTGCAGTCCATGCAGCAGTCCTACAGCGCACCAATACCCAAATACGAAAAGGATTTCAGGTGGGTCACAGATTCTCCTTCATTTCCGAACCCCACTCAATCCTGCACTCCCTTTTCTTGCAGCGCCAAGCAACAGATCAAAGATGCCATAATGGACAATGATTTCCTCAAGAACATCGACGCCTCGCAGGTGCGTGAGCTGGTGGATTCCATGTACTCCAAGAGCATAGCCGCTGGCGAGTTTGTCATACGCGAAGGCGAGGTGGGCGCCCATCTGTACGTCTCGGCTGAAGGGGAATTTGCGGTGATGCAGAATGGCAAAGTGCTGGACAAGATGGGGCCGGGCAAGGCCTTTGGGGAGCTGGCGATACTCTACAATTGCACTCGCACCGCCTCCATCCGCGTGCTGAGCGAATCTCGTGTTTGGGTGCTGGATCGGCGCGTCTTCCAGCAGATTATGATGCGCACGGGCCTGCAGCGGATTGAGAATAGCGTCAATTTTTTGCGCTCGGTGCCGCTGCTGCGGAATCTCAGCGATGAGCTGCTGGCCAAGATCGCCGACGTCCTCGAGCTGGAGTTCTATGCCGCCGGCACGTACATCATACGTCAGGGCACCGCCGGCGATAGTTTCTTTCTCATCTCGCAGGGCAATGTGCGCGTGACACAAAAGCTGACGCCCAATGCGCTGGAGGAGACGGAACTGAGGACACTCGCCCGCGGCGATTACTTCGGCGAACAGGCGCTCATCAATGAGGACAAGCGAACGGCAAATATCATCGCACTGTCGCCGGGCGTCGAGTGCCTCTCGCTGGATCGCGACTCGTTCAAGCGGCTGATTGGGGATCTGTGTGAGCTGAAGGAGAAGGACTATGGCGACGAGAGCCGCATGCTGGCCATGAAGGCGGCCGCCCACAGCGATGAGGTGCTCGGCGCACAGGCGCAGCAGCAGGAGTTTCCCGATCTGCGACTCACAGATCTCGAGGTGGTCAGCACTTTGGGCATAGGTGGCTTTGGACGCGTGGAGCTGGTCAAGGCGCACCATCAGGGCCGCGTGGACACGTTCGCGTTGAAGTGCCTGAAGAAGCGGCACATTGTGGACACCAAGCAGGAGGAGCACATCTTCAGCGAGCGCCACATCATGCTCAGCTCCCGCTGTCCGTTCATCTGCCGGCTGTATCGCACCTTCCGCGATGAGAAGTATGTCTACATGCTGCTGGAAGCGTGCATGGGCGGTGAGATCTGGACCATGCTGCGTGATCGTGGCTCCTTCGAGGACAATGCCGCGCAGTTCATCATTGGCTGTGTGCTGCAGGCGTTCGAGTATCTCCACGCGCGGGGCATCATCTATCGCGATCTGAAGCCTGAGAATCTAATGTTGGACGAGCGCGGCTACGTGAAGCTGGTGGACTTTGGCTTTGCCAAGCACATTGGCACCAGTGCCAAGACGTGGACATTCTGCGGCACACCAGAGTACGTCGCGCCCGAGATTATCCTCAACAAGGGCCACGATCGTGCCGTGGACTACTGGGCGCTGGGCATACTCATCCACGAGCTGCTGAATGGAACGTAAGTTTTCGCTGAAAGTTTGGTTTAAAGTTTAATTTTTGCCCTATCTTTGTGTTCTCTTGCGCTTTGTAGTCCTCCGTTTAGCGCCTCGGATCCCATGCAGACGTACAATCTCATTCTCAAGGGTATTGACATGATTGACTTCCCGAAGCACATCTCCCGCTGGGCCGTGCAGCTCATTAAGCGCCTCTGCCGCGATGTGCCCTCGGAGCGTTTGGGCTACCAAACCGGTGGCATACAGGACATCAAGAAGCACAAGTGAGTGGCGGAAGTTACTGCAAAGTTCCTTCAACTTTAAGCTAATGTTCGCTCCTGTAGATGGTTCCTTGGCTTTGACTGGGATGGGCTGGCCAGCCAGCTGCTCATACCGCCCTTTGTGCGGCCCATTGCCCATGCCACGGATGTGCGCTACTTCGATCGTTTTCCCTGCGATCCCAATGAGCCGCCGGACGAGCTCTCCGGCTGGGATGCCGACTTCTAGCTTAAGCCACACTCTGTTGATTTTTGCCATTAAAAGTTTAGTTGGTAGTTGTTGGACTCTTGTCACGTCTCCATGACTATGTGACTGTCGTGTATGGTGGTGCTGGCCGCCAGCAGCCGGCCCATGTTCATGCAGCGCACGATGAGCGGCGCATAGATGGCCTCACAGCCTGGCTGTGGCTGGGCCACGAGCCGCAGATCCCTGGGCAGCTGGCGGAAGAACTCGCCAAAGCTCTGCTTGGTCGGACGGCTCCTGCGGCAGTGGCGACAGCTGCAGCTGGCCTCGCGGTGCTCGTAGAAGGCGTAGCGCGCGCGATAGGCGCAGCCCAGGAGACACGCTCCGGGGCCAAGCTTCTCGTAGACGGGGGCATTGAAGACATCGGCCACGATCTGCAGAATGCTGCGATTACTCGAGTCAGGGCCCGCCATCACGATCATGGTCTTGGGGCCGAACTGGAAGCCCAAATCCTGCGCTATGGCGCGATGGTGCATCATCTGGCCCTCGATCAGAGCGCGCGCCTCCGTCTCTGGATGATCGAACTTCTCGATGCCGCGCAGCGCCTCTTTGGATCTGGCATTCAGGCGAGAGTCCCAACGCAGCGTGCCCTTGGCCTGCGGTATGAGCTCTCTCTCGACGAAGTGCAGCGCCACGTTGCCGCCGTTGCCCATGGGCGTGGAGTCGAGCATCGCATTGAAGCGTTCCCAGTCGCCGTCGACCAGCTCGTCGCAAAAGCCCTGCCGCACACCCGAACCGTTGCGAAAGCACAGCAGCCCGAGGTGCTCGTTGGGAATGGTGGGGTGACACAGCACGTGGCCCTCGTCCATTTTGTGACTCACTTCGCCCAGATGCAGCAGCATGGTGTCGCTGATGTCCAGCGAGAGCACCAGCAGATCCTTCTCCAGCAGCATGCCCACGTATCGTGAAGCGACAATGCCAATGGCCGGCACCACCATGCAGTCGGGCCGGAAGTTCCAGCGCTTCACGTAGTAGTCGGCCACGCGGCCCTGCAGCCGCGACGATGCGATGGGCTGCATCAGACGACGGCCCAGGCCGGGCGCACACGCCTCCAGGCACTTCTCGGACCACTTGCGGCGGTTAATGTCCAGCAGATTCATGCCCGAACCGTCGCAAAATTCAATTGAGGCCACGCCGCCCACCAGAAGCGAGGAGAGAAAGCTGCTCACCAGCGATATCCGCGGCGTGCGATCGTAGTGCTCCGGGCACTGCTGGTAGACCTTGCGTATCTGTGGCCCCGTGAACCGTGCATAGGCACGCGAGCCCGTGATGGCTGCCAGTTCAACAGTGCCGCCTAGCTGCTGCTCCATTTCGAAGGCCTGCGTGTGCGCCGATCCGTCCATCCAAAGGGGCGTGCGCGTCAGCTCGAAGGCTGCAGCGTTGAGCTGCTCGTGGAGCCGCAGTATCGGATTGAGATTGCACAAACGCCGCAGTCCAATGTCCGACCAGAAGACGCAGCCATGCTGCTGGCCCGCTCCCCCGATGGCCACCACCGAGTGCAGATCCGCGCCCTGCCCGCTGAGGCAGTTCAGCAGCATGTCCAACGCCTTGACCCACATGACGGGATTAGCGAGACTCTCGACGGGCTTCGCATCGGTGAGGACGCCACCCGATGTCTTGAACTCTGGCAGATCCACGTCGTAGTTGATTTTCGCCTCAAACGTGACCTTCATTTGCGCATCCAAAATCACGGCCTTGCAAAGCTGCGTGCCCAGCTGGATGCCCAGGTACGTGTTGCCGCTGTAGTCCTGCTTGCGTCGGTGGCACATTTTCCATAAAAAAACTGAGAATTTGGAATATAAATCAAATGTCAATACAAATATTTGACTGGCGCGCCTCAAAGATCTGCTCGTGTACTCCATGGCCACCAGGAATCCACAAATTATCCTCGACAAAACTGCAATGGGCTTAAGGTAGTTGTTTTGCGCATTTTAAGTAATTAGTTTGCTTTTTCCTCAAGCATTATTTCTACGCGCTTTGTTTTGTTTGTCATTAGTGATGATAGTTTGAGCCAATAGTCACGAAACTACGATAATGTGCTGAAAAGCGCAAAAATATAATGAGAGGTTCCGATTGATCGCAACTCTTTGCCATCACTATGCAAGCAAAGAACTGAGCAACTACGCATAATGTGTACCGCAATTCTTTTCTTTCTGTTTACATCTCTCGTTCCGTTTACAGCCGAATGCAAGACAGAGATAGCACTAGACGCAAGGGACCCACAACGATGCATTGGTGTCATAGCATTTAGCTTTGCAAATATTTTATGTAAGAGCTTATTTATTAAATTATAATTAAATCTCGAAATCCATGAAGTTAATTTTTTTGGGGGTGTATTTTTATCTTCCGAATTTAGCATTTTTGGTTTATTGTTGTTGCACCTTCTGTGGTTATTTGTAATGAATTTTATTGTTGCAAATGTGACAGTGGCTGGCCGTTCTCTTCACGTGCAGTAGCTCGTGTGAAGCACGTAAGGCAACCCTTTGACCACTCGATCGAGTCATTGTGATGCAAGCCGATCCAACGTGCCAGTGTTGCTCTCCTCCTGGCGCACTAGGCTGTCCCGATCCGCATGGAGCTTCCATCGATTGGCTCAAGATGGTCTAGGCTGCCGTTGTCTGAATTTCAATCGGTGTTATTAGCAATCTGCCTCATATTTTATTTGGAGACTTACCGGTGGGATGTGCATTTTGATAGCTTTGTTGCCCGAGTATATGTTATTTCTAATAAATCGCCTTCCAGCCATTGCGTTTTTTCCTCGTCTTTCTTTGCTTTTCGATAATCTCTCCAATTCTAAGACTATTTTTTCTGCTGTTTCGTGAATGAGTTTAATTATGCTGTGCTGCAAATTGGAAAATTTTTGAGTGTTCTTTTCTCGAGGCGAAAATTAGGCTGTAGTTTACTTGGATTGGAATTTTGACCGCAGTTGCGCTTTTGGAATTCCCACAAGAAAATTCTTGCACGAAAATGTTGCCATCTTTCGCCGAATTGTACATTTGAGCTGATTAAAGGAATGTTTATTAAAATTGTCTGTAAATTTTCTTGTTGCTTCAACTTTGACTATTTGTATACCTGGTACTCGAAGTCTCTAGGCGAGGAAGTGCCTGCAGAGGCAATAGCTTGCCAGTCGTGCTTCACACAATCTACTGCTCGTGATGAGAACGGCCAGCCACTGTCACATTTGCAACAACAAAATTTATGGAAAATAATCAAGGAGAAACGAACACTACAAAATACTGATTACAACTAAAATCAGAGTTGGAATTTTATGAATTGTGTCAAAACTTTTTAGACGGCAAATCGAATGGCCTACTAGATCGATGTGTTACTTTGCTTTACATGGAAGTATTTCCCAGCAACCACCACGAACCACATGGAAGTACTCAAACCCACTCAATTATGTTTCCCACTCTTCAGTGGCATTTTTTTTATTTGCTGCTTGAAAGTAAGTTTTTGCTGGGAGATCTCTATGCCGCCTGTGATTGTGTGCGCCGCTGCTCGGTGATCTTGAACTGCAGCAGCACCACCAGATACGTGGCCATAAATGTAATGTTGGTGGTGATGAGCTCCCGATTGATGTTGGCATAGCCATCGAGATTCATGATGGGCGGATTCTTGTTGATGGCCACCAGCAGCATCTCGACCTCCTTCTGCGTGGCCGCATCCACCGATGTCAGATTGATGTTGAGCAACTTGGTCTGAAAGTCCAGGCCCACCTTGCGCGAGGCGTAGTGCGCCTCATTGCAGATGATGTACAGCAGACCCATGCAGTAGAAGACGATGACGAAGAGGCCCACCTCCTTGTAGGTGGCGCCATGATCGAGGATCTCGCTGATGCTGCCGTAGGTGGCGATGATCGTGGTGAAGAAGATGACGAGGCAGTACATGCCGTACATGTTCGAGTAGGCACGTCCCAGCTGCTGCATCATGTGACTGAGATCCACCCACAAATGGCGATATTCCGTGAGCTTCTGGGCGGGCTTCTCCCCGCGAATGGTCGTCTGCAGTGCGTCGGACAGCGCTCGACTGGCGGTGCCAAAGGCATTGCAGTTGATGTACCACAGGCTGCAGAAGCAGTTCAGCATCGCAATGATGGGATAGTAGGCGAAGGTGTACCACAGCCGAAAGTCCGGCTGCAGGAAGTACTGCGAGAGATTGATGGCAATGCTGAGCACCCACGAGAAGATGCACAGCGACCAGGTCAGCGGATACAGATTGGGGAACACAATCGGGCTGCCCGTTGTCTTGAAGAACTTGTACTGATAGTTGGTCCACATATTCTTGAATATGGCCACCTGGGGCCCATGCCGCCAGCTGGCCACCGGCAGCAGAAAGTTCGTGAACAACAAACTGATGAAGATCACATTGTAGATGGCCTCGTCGAAGCGTTTGTCCGGGCTGGTCACGAACTTCTTGACACGCTCCCGCAGCACCAGCACCACCACCGTCGTCTGGCAGCTGTAGATGAAAATGGCCCACATGACCTGCTTGGAGCCCCAGGAGTAGCCCGTTCGCGGCAGATTCTTCACTGGCGGATTGCGATGGATGGGCATCACGCCCATGATCTGGAACAGCACCAGCAGACTCTTGGTGGTCTGATAGAAGGAATCGTGCTTGTCCAGCTCCAGCGGATCGTCCACCGTCTCCTGTTTGCGCACATAAACCTCATCCATGGCATCGCCGCGTGCCATGAGCTTCAGTTTCTCGCGGTAGCGCATCTCATCCTCGAGGAACTGCCGCTGATTCGGATTCAGCATGGGCGCCACCTTTGACGGTGGCGTCAAGCCGCGACTGACGGCCCAGAATGACATGATGAACGGTCGCTGGACAGCGGTTTGGTCAACGCTTTTATAGACCCCCAACCCGGGCTGACGGCAAGAGTCCTTGCTATTGACTTTCGATTGAAAGGCAAACACAAAGGAAACGCCCGGAGGCGTCGCCAACATTTTGCTTGCTTGCTTGCTTGCTTGCTTGCCTCTCCATTAAATATGCCCAAGACCCAGGATATGAGGCTTCGAGGGTCACAATCAACACATCAGGACACACACACAGCCCTGTCCGCCGAGCTGTTTGTTGTGGTCGTCCAGATGTGGGGTAAGCGTTTTGCTGACACCGCCAACGAATGGGTAAGACCCCGACCTACAGCAGAGGCAGGGCTGGGTGCTTGGGTGCCCGTCCAGAAGGTACATAAAATGCGCTTAATTTGCCGGAAATGAAAGTTTAACGATGTGTAAATGCTTACGAATGCCGATAGAGGCTCGCACTAATGACCAATAAAAATGTGCCACCCATGCCCCCATCGGGTGTCCTCTGTCCGTTGTCCGTTGTCCGTTGTCCTCTGTCCAGTAGTTTCTTGTATTTGGGCCTGACTTTTGATCTATTTCTGCCTCAGAGATATTAAAGGCCCAACAACATCAATGACTGGCTCTTAAGGCGCTTAAAGTCCCGAATCCAGCGGACAGTTTCATGGCAATGGCAATGACAGCGTCCCGTTTGGGATAAGCCTGAACTCTTGTCGGCAGGCAGCAAATCTGCCCTCGAGAATGCGAGGAATTTCGAACACATCCTTTTCCATGAGCAAGGCTGGAGCAAGCCAACTGTTGCCGACCTTTGGCAGCCTCTACCCAGCCGCTGTTCAGTGGCTGTTCATAGAGTTTTTGTCGTTGGGTGAAAACTCATTTTCATTGCACATAGTTTGGGGCGCAAAACTCTGTTCGTTTAATGCGAGAACTTTCAAGACAAACGACCAGGCGGGAGTGCATAAATAAAGTGTTTAGCTTGTTCTTTATGTCCCCCATCCTGCATCCTTTCTTGTGACATAATTGCAGCCAGCAAAGAGCTGGATAAAGGCAAGAGCTCGCATGTGGATGTGGAGCTATAAAAATCGCTGGCACTGCAGCATCCTTTGATGCGGCTTAAAGAGCCTGTGGAGCAGCCGGGGCCGGGATTTGCTTTTTACACGGGATTTTGATTCTGCTTTTGTGCAGTTCGTGCCGACTGCTGCTGATGCTGCTCCAACTGCTGCTCCCTCCCCTCCATTGGGTGTCACTGGCACAAAACGAACGATGAGTCTCCCTCGCTCATGGCCGCTGGCTGTCAGCCGCGTGGCGGCCTTGCAGCAGCACTGAACAAGTTACATTTCGATTTCCTTTTCGAATAAACCCAGTCCCAGGAGTCCCACACTTGCCACACTTGCCACACTCCCACTCTGGCGAGTCTCCCTACCATCCATCACAGCACAGACTACATAATGCAAGTGTCTTGTGCGAGATCTGTCGTGGCACAAAAAAGGAGGAACATGTGACGAAGATTCACTTCTTGCAAGGAAAACTTTTATTAATATCATGTTGGAGGGGCTTTGAAGTCAGCCAAAAGATGGTTTTTAGATTGGCTGCGAGGAGGAACAACCCAGGAAGAGGCTTCAAGGAGTAACTTCCTAGGAAGAGGCAGCCTCCGTGGTGCTGCTGGCTTCAGTGGTGCTGCTGCTGCCTGTTTCTGTGGTGCTTCCTGCTTCAGTGCTGCTGCTTGCCTCAGTCGTTGTGCTGTTGCCATTGCATGGTAGACCCCATTGTGGTCGTCGTCCTCCGCCCTGCTGGGCTGGACCCTGCGGTCTGCCTTGTGGTCTGCCCAATGCCTGTCCCTGTCCCTGTCCTCTCTGGTGACGCCTGCCCTGAGCAGCTGCCACAGCAACCAACGCAAAGAGCACAATCAAGATGTAGAAACGCATATTTCAGTGTTGTTTTCTGTGTTGTTTTCAAGTTCAAAGTGTAAGTGAGACTGTGATAAATTTCATTGCCAGTGGAGCTCTTTTATACCTTACCTTTGGCCAGCACAAGAAATCTTTTGCTCGGAGAACAGCTGCTGCTGGTGTGACGTTTAACAGTTCACATAAACGTCAGGTGTAATTTGGAAAGACCCCGCAGATAAACGGTGTCCGCAGACTTCTGACTGTCATTCATTTTGTTTGCTGCTTTTCATCTGCGTCATCGATGCCGCAGCTGCTGCTTGATATGTTTTCAATGGCTTTGGGGGGGAGCTCTCCGACTGACTCTCCCCCTCGTTCAGTTTCTGCTTTTCTGTTGATATTTATGTTTGACTATTTGTATGGTTGGGGGGGTTTTTCTAGCTAATGGAAACTATTCCATTCGATTCCCAGTTCTGGGCTGGCTGGCTGATTGAATTCCGGTTGGTGGTAAACCCATCAGGGCAGCCAGCGGATGCAATTTATGACTCTCTGTCCCTATCCCTCTCTGGTTGAAGGACCAATATATAAATGTTAATTTAATTTGCCTTCGTTCCATGCCATGGTCCAATGTAAATACACACTGAGAGAGTGGTAGAGAGAGATAGAAGTTTGGATTGCACTCTGGATAATGCAATTAAATATTAATCATGCGCCTGCGGCCAGCTTGCAGGATATGTAGGCATATGTTCAATGCATACTCATTGCATCCTGAATCCTGCATCCTGCATCCATAGTTACAGCACAGCATCGACAAATTAGCAAATTGAACATAAATTGACTAATTAGTGCTAAAAGCAAGTGGCCATAGCCCAATGTTTGCTCCAACAACAGAGCTCCTTCCACTGCAACTCCTGCTAGTCCTAGTCCTTCTCGTGAAAGGTAAATGCAGCGAGAAGGTGAGTCAAAGTGTGGGATATTTATTTAAATTATTTCAATTACAAAATATATTTGTTGTGTGAAAATTGCAAATTCTAAGTATGAGGAATTTATTAATCTACTCATTCAGTTCCACAAACTTATTTTTGTCTCATGCAAAATGCATTCAAAAATTGTCAGTTTGTCGCATAGTTTTATCGAGTGCAAAAATAAACTTTTCAGTAAAACTTTCAACCATTTCGATGATCGATGAAGGCAGCCAGAGAATGCAGAGAATGAGATGGAATGCGGTTGGTATTTGATGCAAAATTAATGTGCTTTATATATATATTGTTTACAGACCACAGAAGAGTGCCTTAGTTAGAGAATTTGTCTGTTTAATTGGCCTATCGTTACCTTCTGCTCGAATATACACTGCTATTGTCCTGTGTGTCCATTCAGAGCGACTCTGCAATGGTCGGACATAATGTTTGCAAGTGCGAAAAGTGTTCAAAACTAATTTCCCATTTTTTACTCTACCCCGCCGCACTACCCCTCCCTTGGGCCATGTCCCTCTTGTGTGGTAGCTGGAAATTAAAATGAAATTGAAATTTTCATTTGCATTGTACAATTTATCGCTTTAATGAGTGCTGGGAGCTGGTTGCTGGCTGTTGGATGCTGCAATGGCAATTAAAAAAATAATACAAACAAAAATCTGAACAACTGTGGAATCCCTCCGCCCTCCGCCCGTTCGTTCTTTTGTTCGTTCTCTGGCTGCCCATTCCCCTGCCCTCTTGCACTGCTTGTCCTCCTTCCAGCCCTCCTGCACTGCTTGCCCTGCCTACTGGCTCTATAATCCATGCCTGAATGCGTTTTCTCTATTTAATTTTCATCCGAGCTTAGCCCTGTGGCACCGGTCCCATCGGGCAAGATCTTCAAAATTTAATTAAAAAACGCTTTGCATATTTTTGCCTCGATTGATTTTTGGTTTTGCCACAGCCACTGCCACTGCCACTGCCACTGGCCCAGCCAAAGCTCTCTCAGAGCATCCATTCATTTATCCTATCTGCTGCACTCTCGAATTGAATGCCTCCCCTTCGGCATTGACAGTTTAATCAGCCGCATTGATAAGCGGACAGCTTCATTCATGCACATTTGGGGGAGGCGGACACTGTGACAAAGAGTCTCACTGGCCTGGCCTGGGCTGGGCTGGACGGAGATGCCTGAGCCTGAGCCTTGGATTGGATTGTGAGTCCTGGTAATTGAAAAGCATACAAGGCGCTGCTCGGTGCCTAGTGCATCAATTAGTAAAGCAAACGCAGCCACTCAGCCGTCAAAGACAAAAAGTAAACGATTCAAAGCTGCCAGTTCCGAGCTCTCAGCTCCAAACTTCCTCCTCCTGCTTCTGGCACTCTCCTACCTACTCCTGCCTCCTGCTGCAAGTGCATTTTATTAGTCGGCATTTGTCGCGTACTCTTCGCCCCCGTTCCCCACCAACTTTTTATCTCTCGGCAAACAGTTGGCGTCGCAATTGCCGCACAAAAGACACACAAAAAATGTTGGTGGGTAGGAAGTGATGCCATTGTCTGCACCCACCGCCCTGCTGCTCCACTTGCCATGCAAATACGAAGGGCATTAAAGGATTTCTCAACTGCCACAGTTCCCACTTGCACCACTTCCCCACTTGCGCCTTGCATTTCCCACTTTGCTATTTTCCATCCATTTGCCATCCATTTTTGCATTCTCCATTTGTTAGTATCGCTGTCTTTTTTATTGACTTTGCGCATTTAACTTTTAATTTTCACCATGTAAAAGGCAGAGAGAACAGAGTGAGAAAAGAGAGTCTGGCCAGCGGATAAAGAGATAGAGGAATAAATGGTTGCTGCTGCTGATGATGGAGAAACTGTTCTACCTTAAATGTGCTGAAAACGCTTTAAGCGTTTCATTCTGCAGGGGGGAAAGGGGGGATAAACACCTTCTTTAACCTTGTTTTCCGGCGTGAAATTATTTTCACACGAAGCTTTTTAGAATATTCCCTGCCAACGGCACATTCTCTCAACTGCTCATCCTCATTTCCATCCTTGTGGCTGTGGCCATAGAAATGGAGTGCCGTGTAAATATGGCAGCAATGGCTCCTCATTTTCACTTGGCACCGCACTGCTTCGCCTGCTTCCCCCTGGTCCTACTGCTTTACCTGCCATCCCCCTGCTTTACCAACTTGTCCTGCTTTATCTGCCATCCCCCTGCCTTACCTACTGCGAATGACACGAAGCGGCTTGTGCGCATTTTGGGGCTTAGCTTTTGTGCAGCCCACGAGGCGTTTACTTAAGCGTAGAGCCGCGTCTGCTCCTCCCCCCCGCTGCACTCACATTTTGTGCCGCTTAATCGGCAAAAAAAAAGCAGCGGCGGCAGGCAAAGAGCTGCATACTGCGCCGTGCTGCAAGTTGCATGCAATATTTATGATTATTTTTTGCAATTTCTCTCACTTCGATCGGTGCGAGCGGCCATGGGAAAATTTAATTTGCTGCCATTCTGCTGCTTAGCTGGGGTAGCGTGATGGAGGAACATGCTGCAGGATGTGTATTTTCCTTCAATTTGTGCAGCAAGTAAAATAAGTTAAAGGCGAAAGAGCTTTAGCAGGGGCAGAGGCACTTCCTGGCAGCGTATGGAACCGGAGTGTAACAACTAATTCCACCTAAGGATAATATGATTTCTATGCCAATGCTACGGAGACACAGACACAAGCTCTGCTTTTGCCATCTTCCAGCTTCAGAGATTACATTTACAGCGCTGAAACTTTCACAATTTCTCCATGTGTGTGTGAGTAGTTCTTTCTCTCTGTAAGTGTGTGTGTGCTTTTCATTTTTCAAAAGCGCGAATTTAGTCTGCCAACTCATGTGTGCGTGTGTGTGTGTGTGGCAGTCCCTCCATCTGCCCCGCTTCATGCTCCTTTGCTCTCCCTGATGAATGTGCGCCGCTTGGTTTATGTGTTTCACTAACCAATTTGCGCTCTGCGCTCGACGTGATTTACAGTTCCCCAGCGAGCTGTTTTGCTTGCCACATGGCAGCAGTACGTGGAGGAGTCTGTGTGTGGGTGGCAGTCAGACACTTGCCACTCGGCTTAACCCACGTAGGTCGCTGATCGAAAAACCCCAAAGCAGAGTACTTCACTCAAAGATGTTTATGGACAATCAAAAAGAAATTATTACAGCACAAAAGTAGCTCCAAGGTTGAGGCAGGCCACTCTGCTCGGTATCGGTAAGATTGCAGCTGCAATTGGGGGAAGTTCCTCGACTGGACTTGGGTCAAGGGCAGCACTTGGGATGTCCATAAAGCAGCTCCACATGCAGGTAGACTTTATTTGAATTACTTCCCCTTTGTTGAAACTCTCTGCCTCATTCTCTAACGATCTCTAAATTCTATGCTACACAAAATCACTGCCTACATTTGCCGCTCTTAGTTTTGGTTTCCCACTGCCCTTGGGCCCACATAGGGTTAAGGGTTAAGCCCAGAGTCCAGTCCTGCTCCTGCTGCCAGCGCTGGCTTTAAGCGTCTGCTGCCTGGCGATGCGGGGAATGCAAATCAATTGATCATTTCGCTGGCCAGCAGCTGCAATGGGAACTGCCTGCCCTTGCCCCTGCCCCTTGCTACTGCCAAACACACTTCAGTGCACTCGAAGTGGCCGCTTCGCCGAACATCAGCAGCAGCAGCAGCATCAGCAGAGTGAATGAAGACGACTTTGTGCTGCAACCGCATGGGGCAACAGCACCCCATCCAATGCCACTCTCTCGCTTTCCATTTAGCAGTTGCCGTTTGTCGCAAAATATTCAACGGAATGCTGGGATTGCTGGCTAAAACTCACATAATTAAACGATTTGCAGGCATTAGATGTGGTAGCTCGGGCAACTGCCAGCTCGGTACAAGACAGCAAATCCAATCCAGCAATCCCCTTTGGGGGCAGCATGTAATAAATTAACGCGCCATGAACTCCAGCATGGAGCACGGGGCATGCATCATAAATCATCTTTGAGTCTGTGCTAGAACATTGAGGTTTCGCCTTTGCCTCAGGCCTAATTATCACCACAAAAAGCAAAGACTGAGGGAAGTCTGGTCAAAGGCTTTGGCCAACGACTTTACCAACCGGAATGACGCTGCCAATGCCCGCCAGGACACTCTCGGACTCTAGGACTCTGCAGCAAAGCTAATCAGGGACAAACCAAACTTGGTGGAGCGGCAAAAATGTTTCTAAGAGCGAGCAAAATATAGCAGGAGTGCCGAAAATTGTGTGAGAGCAAATAGAAGGAGCCCCGAAATTGGTGGGGAAAAAAATAGCAGAAGCCCCGAAATGTTGTGGCAGTTTTCGTGGCGATTATCTCGTGTCCTTTGCTGTCGATGACTGAGACTCGAATTGGTGCGATTGGAGCCATGGGATGGATGATGCGTTGATGGCACCAGCAGCAGCAGCAGCAGCTCAATTATTTTTGCCTATTTATTTTGCCAGGCAGAATCTGCTCCACCTCCCCCTCTTCCTTTGTGCGCTTCGATTTTGGGTTTCGTTTTCGTTTCTGGTGTCGCTTTCTGTTTGCTTTTTGCGGCATTAAAGTGACGAAATTGTAGCTGAAATCTGTTTAAAGGCGAACCTCCCTCGACCCGATAGCCTGTACAAATTTGATTTTAATTGAATTTCTCATTTTCGGCGGGGCCTATTCAGCGCTCGGGAGAGGTGTGCCGGGGCATGGCAAATTCAATTTGCCGCTAAATGAGCTAAATGCGATTAAATTCGAGCAGACAGAACAGAACAGAACAGAACAGACCTTGCCCAGACGAGTCGAGAGTCGAGTGGAGGCTTCAACTAAATACATACGAAACCCCCTCCGCACAGTGGCAAGACCGAGCTTACGGCATGTGTAACATATGTCGAGAGGCAGAGCCAGAGCAGGGATGAGGCAGAGCCAATCTGGGGCCTAAATCAATACGATTGTTTTCGGCCTTATTGTCCACCAGTTGGGCAGTCGCAAAATGAGGAAAACAACAAGCTGACGGAGAGAGAAAGAGAAACCGAAACCCCAGACACAATTCATGGCTAAGAAACTGTGACAAAAAATCCCTGAACTGGGACTGCTCCTTGTCCTCTGCCTATTTCTGGTGCTTGTCCTGCCCTGACTTTGATCATCTGCAAAAGTTGTTGCTCGAAGTCAATGGATTTGCATTTGACCAACAGTCAACGACAACAAGTTGTTGTGCCACAAAGTCCTCGACTTGTACTTGGACTTGGACTTTGCTTTCGTTGTGTCTTTCCTTTTTCTTGGCCTTAAGTCTCTGCCAATTGCCGCAAAAGGACCAATGACAATATAACAAAATCTCAAACGAGCAGCCCGAGCGCAGCGGTCATTGTCAGCCAAAGAGTTAATAAAAACTTTGTCCGCTCCCCCACACTCATTGTTCTTCTGCGACTTGGCTTGGCTGTGTTTTATGGTGGCTGCCACAGTGTTGCAGCAGCATCAGCAGTTCTATCGCTTCAGCTGTTTGTTGGTTTTCCACTTTGGGGTTTGCAGCGACGAGGGGCAGGGGCTGCCTCGTGGCTTGTCTTGCGGCATTGCGTTTGCGTTTGTTGTGTGTTTTATTTGCATACAATTTGCCAGTTTATGGCTGTCAAGAGAGAGCCTGGCACTCGGCCAATGTGGCGCTGTGGCGCAGGGCCGGGCGCTGCTTTTTAGCCCGCATCCCGAGGCAACTGCTGCGCCTGCCTGCTGCTCCTGCTCCTGCCTTTCGTTTGCCTTCATCAAATATATGTTATTTGTATTTATTGATTTCCAAGTGAAAACATTATTGAGGTTGGCCCCACACACACACACACACACACACACACACACACACACACACACACGCACACACACACACACACACACACACACACACTTGCGTATCCCGAAAAAGCGACAGCGAAAGCAAAAGCAAATTTGTGTTGTTGTTGAAAATGTTGAACAACAAAAGGACTTCATTATTATTGCCTGGCATTATCAGTGTGCCAGTGTTTGTGTGTCACTGGGTGTGTGTGTGTGTGTGTGTGTGCCAGTCAGGCCATGTTGCTGCCTGATTAAATTGAATTTCATATGCAAAAGGTGAAACTCAATCAAGAAAACATAAAGGGCACACACACGGCCGGCCCAACATACTTGTACCTGTGTGTGTGTGTGTGTGTCTCGGCTTAACCAAAGCCAATGGCAAGGATTTTGCGGCTTTTGTGATATGTGATACGTGTTTCGCCCTTCCCGATCCCGCACAACCTTTGAGCTTGAAAATTAATAGCAAAATAACGAAAAATGTAAAATTGTGGCATTGGCCATGAGAAAATTGAATGACTTATCAGCTGGGCTAGTCAGGCTGCAGGACCAGTACTCAGTCGGAAGCAGAGAATGACTCGGGGTCGGCCTCCACCTCCACCTAAACCTCCACCTCTGGCTCTGGCTCAACTCCTCCTCGACTGTTAAAGTACTTAAAAGTAAGAGGCTTTGGCTGACTGGCTCTCTGCCTGGTTTGCTGGTTTTATGTTCATGACCCTGGCATAGGTGATAATTTCATTTGCTCAAATCAAAACCTGAGACTGGGCACGGCCCTGCCCTTTCCCCGCACACACACACTTTGGAGTTCTGCTACGCGAACCCGAGCCTCATATTGAGCTAATAAAATTTTAATGAAATTACGAGTACCGCCGCCGCTTCGACCCTTCGCATAATAATCACGGCAAACGTTCCGGGAGCCACCAGCAACAGCGCACAATTTTATGCCGCCTACGTGAGGGCACAGCCAAGGAGCCAAAAACCAGAGCGGAGTGTAGCCAAAAAGCGGAGCACAGCAGCCATGAAGTGGTGGCGCATAAAAGGAGCTATTAGCTGGCATATTTTTTTTCCATTTTCCTGACAATTTCCCTGCCATTGCCCTGCCAGTTTGCCGGCAACCCCTTCATAGGCCATTCGTGGCGTTGAGGACACGCACATTTTGCCCGACAATTCTGAGATGGGAAGCGGGAAGGTCTGCGTGTGTGTGGCATGTGGCAGGCTGTACGAGCGAGTGTGCATTAATGATGCATTGCATCTGCCAGCTTAAAACTGTTCGCTCCGCTTAATTACAGGTGATAGGCGGAGGCATGTGGCACGGCAAGAGGCAGCGGCAAACGGCACGCAGCAGTGTCTGTCTGTCGTTTGTTCTGTGTGACTTCTTGTCGCATAATTGCAAAGGAAACACAAGTTTTGATTAAAGTTCGCTCTCTCTCGCGAGTCGCGAGTCGCGAGTCGCGAGTCAGAGATGAGCCGAAAGGGCGCGGGGAGTCTTATCCCCCACCCGCTGACATCACGCATACGCCGCTTGAGCCGCAGTGAGAAAACTTTTGGCGCTGCAGTGACGTCTAATTAAAACTTATTTTTGCCAAGAACAAAGAGTAGGAGCAGGAGAATTTCCTTATTAAATTCTCCTGGCATGCCGCCGCCGCTGCCACTTCCTCCTGCAGCAGCAGCAGGAGGCTGTTTCTCTTCCTGTTGTTCTTGCAAGTTGTTGATGATGTTGCCGCCAATGGAAATATTTATCAAGTCATCGCGTTGCAGCTGCACGCTGCCTGATGCCGGATGCTTAGGGGCAAACAATACAGATTACGCATACGCCACAAGAGGCAAGCGGCAAGCGGCAAGCCTGCCTGACTGGCAACTTGGGTGCACGCGTGTCAAGTTGTGTTTTGCCCTAAAAAGTTAAATGAAGCGCGCTGCGGTGCACCTTGGGCGTAAACTTTGTCGCATGCATTTGAGCTCTTACCTTTGGTGCCGCCCCCACGTGTCCGCTCTAATTAAAATTTCCGCCAGCAGTGGCACATTAATGATGTTACGGTGGGCAGGAAATTGAGCAGAATTTAGTACTCAACGCTTTAATGTGCGGACAATATTTACGAGCGGGAGCAGCAAGCAGTCCAAGCAGGCAAAGCAGTCCAAGCAGTCCAAGCAGTCCAGTGCGCTGGTGGGGGGGTTGGACATCTAATGACCGCACGGCTCGTTTGCTTCATTTGCAGTGAAATGGATGCACAACCGCAAATCAAATACAGAAGCAGAGAGAGCGGTAGGACCTGCCTGTCCACTGCCATGTCCATTCACGAAATGTTCACCAGAAAATGTTTTGGCATTTGAACTCTACACTCTCTCTCTGTCTGTGTGTGTGTGTGTGTGTGTGTGTGTGTGTGTGTGTGTGGGTTGGGGGCTGCTATTGGGTTATTTGATCTCTGTTCCAGTTAGCACTTATTTTCGTTGGTTCCTTCACACAGCTACAACCAAACAACTTACGACAGAGCTGGACATGAATTTCTATCTTTGGATGGCTCTGCATATATCTCTGGGCATCTCTCTGGGCAACGCTGAGTATTTTTTTTGTTGGGCACGACAAGCCTTTGCCATTCCAGGGATTAGGCAAAACGAAAATGAGAATTTTTCGAAATCTGATCAGAGTGGCAAATGGCACATTTGGGTAGGACCAGCAATGGGTTTAAACGAATTTTGTGTTATTTTGTGGTTCATTAAATTCTCAAGCGCAAAATCAACGCCGTCGTGTCTCTCGCTCTCTCTGTCGTGTTCGAAGTTTGCATTTGCCGCACAGACACACATTCAGTCAATAAACTCTCTGAGCACAGGACACGTACTACCGAGTGCAGAGAATCTTGACTACAGTGGAGTCTTGCTGCTGAGCTGCTGCCTGTTCCATCAACAGTTTGTGGCAGCTTGTTGAAATTAATCATTTGGCTGCCAAGTCTGCGTCTGCGTCTGCTGTCGCTGTCTCCATTTCTCCACCTATCGCAATCAGTTGGCAGTCTTGCCTCGCCTCGACTTTTCTCTCTTCTGCTCAACAGTCGCCATGTTGCTACTTCCGCTTCCGCTTCTAGTTGACTGCCGCTCGTTCTTCTCCCCCCTGTGCATGTCTGTGCCCGTGCCCTTGCAGTGTGTCAACAACATTATGTTATTTCTACTCTCCTTCACCCTACATCGCTCTCTCCCTCTTTCGATGTGTGTTTGCTGCCATTCCATTCGTGTAATTTCCCATGGTAACTGAACATGTGAGTGCAGGCTACAGCAGCTCCCTCGCTCGCATGGAGCCACGAGCTTCGCCTCCTGCCACCTGTTTCCTCAGTTGTCGCGACAATAACCGCTTTCCTTCTTGAACACTCTGCCTGGATGAAGCTGCAGCTACTCTCCTCTCGTGCGTGTATTTGTTTACAGCTCAGTTATAATAAATTGCAATCATGACTTGAATGGCAACAGCTCAACCTGCTTTGCTTTGGTCTCTCTACCCACAGCTCTGATTTTATCTCTGAGAAAATTTGCATGAATTGAGGCTCCTCCATGCTCCATCCTCTCGTCGCGTCCTTGTGAAATTTTTCAATCAGTCGCTCACTCGTCTAGAAATCCGTTTTCCGCCACTCGTTTCCCATTTCCCCCAAACCCTAGCCATTCGCTTTTCTCAGGCGTGTTTCCTGTTCCACCTCCCACCTGTCCCAGCTCCCACCAAAGAGATAACCAATTAGAGCCGCCGCTTCGCACCTTTTCCAATCTCAATTAAAAGTGCGAATTTCCATCAGTGTGGAAAATGTTTAACGTGCATGTTTTTCCGCCTGATTAGACAGCATTGAAAGGCGGTTGAAGTTGGGGGCCGACACGAATGAATTTATGCACGGAACATATTTTGTCATTTTCAGTGCTGACAGCAGCCACGTACTGGTACACCGACTGCCAAAATAAGAGACACACCACGAAAAGTTGAAAGAAAAAATGCTACAGACACACAGGAAAGGAAGAAACTTTTTGGCCAACAATTTCCCATTTCAGCTTTCCTCTTGGTCGTGTTTCGTTCCCAACACCCTACTGTTGTGCTCTTTGGTTTTGCTCTGTTGCTCACTTTTTTGTACTCTTCCAGGAGGAGTTTTATGGGATTTTAATGAAATCAATTTGGCAAATCTTAAAATATTAATAAAATAATAAATTGAAATATTCATTGGATTTCAATTGTCGTTGTGCTTCAAATTGGATATACACATTTATAGGGAGCGCTCGTAATTATCGTGTTTTGGCACCGTATTAAATGCCGTTGATCAACGAAGCTTGATGCTCTCCTCTCTTAAAGTGTCGGCCGCTTTTGGTCTCTCTTGCTGTTAGTTGCTCTGTTATTTGTTTCGTTATTGGCTCTGTTAGCTCCGCAGACTCTGCTGTTATTGGCTCTGTTAGCTTTACAGAATCTGCTTCTATCTGTTTCTTCCCACTAAATCCCACATGTATCGAAGCTGCTGCTGGTCTCTTTCGCTGTTAATTACTCTGTTAGCTCCACAGACTCTGTTGCTCTCTGTCCAATTCCACATGTTTACCTGCAAATCTGCGTCTCTTTATCTGGCCCTTTTTGATTCCTATTCGCGATCTCTCTATTTGTTCTCTAATTTTCAAAGTGTATCTCCTGATTCGGTTCTTTGACCAAATCGGAGCATCATTCTTCTTGTTATGTGTTGCTGTTTTCGGTTCACTCGCTTCTTTTGAATTACAGGCATTGCATGGCAGGCAAATTTATTGGCAAATTGGGAGCACAGTGGTTTCCCTTCAGTTCGGTTCTCCAAGGAGAACCAAATGTGTGGGGGGGTGGACAGCAGCAAAGAGCGTGGTGCCCCCTTCCAACACACACACACACGTGCACATGGAACGGCAAGTTGAGTGTATTTTTTACAGCTTGCTTTTTGTTTATGTTGTTTTTATTGATTGAAAATAACTTAGTGCCGTTTTATGTGCCACCTCCTGAGAGGGGAGAGATACTGGATGGAAATAAACTGAAGCGCTTTATGCCATGAAAGGTAAGTAAAGTGCAGGTCTTTGTGCAGAATGAGAGAGTGCCGCCTCCTTGTGGGATTGCGATTGCCCTGGAGCATTGTTCACCGCCACAAACACACACACAAGTACACACACTCATCCTTTGTGTAAGAGGATGCTCATGATAATCCTGAATAATTAGAGGGAATTGGCACGAGGCTCCGGAGAGAGCAGGGACAGAGCGCGCAGAGAGTACATCAGGAGATGCTCACTTAATGCACTTTGGCATACGCGTAAATTGCCTTTGGAGCAGGCGCTAATTAAGGCAGCTTTTGCCTGGAGAGCCCTCCGGCTCGGGGGCTTTAATGAAGCCTTCTCCTCTGCATACTCGCACTCTCTCTCTGTGGAAACGAAACCCCAAACTGTCGACACACAATGGCAGCGAGACCCAACCTGTTGACCCGTCCGCCCATTTGTCAATGCCTCGAAACGAACACGTTTGTCCTCCCATTTTTATTCATTTCGTGGGCTCGAGCTCCTCTTCTCTTTTTTTTTTTGGGTTTCCTCTTGTTTCTTTTTGTTTTTGCCAGGGTCTTCCTCTTTGGCAGGCTGGACCATATTAATTAGCTTGATTAAAATTAATATTTGCGCAAGTTTTGCTACGCCACAAAATGTTGTCGTCAGCTGTTGGCATGCGGCAGTGAGTGGTCCACGGACTGCGGGCTCTGGCAAATATGTGCAATAAATAAACATTTCTTGCCCCCGATGCGTGACAGCCCCTGTGGCAAGGTACTCCACCTGTAATAAAGCAAATGTAAAGACAGGACTGCTCCATTTTATTGAGCGGAAGAAGCAGCAACCTGCGACCCTGCGACCCTGCGACACTCGTGGCAATCTGGCTGAGGCAACAACTGCTGGCAACTGGCAACAAAGTGCGACCGGGATAAATCTTGATGCGTCAGTCGTGATGGTGGAGGGGGGGAGTCAGGGCCAGAGCCAGAGTCTCACTGAATGAAGCCATGAGAAATGTTGTCGCATTCAGTGTCCCCACCTCCACAGCCCACATGGCTGTGTGAATGTCACCATCATCGTTGGTTGCCCCCCTGCTCCACTCTGTGTGTGCTCTCTGTGCTCATCTTCATCTTCCATCCATAGCCAAGGCCCACGCCAATCCCATTCCCCTTGCCATTTCGCAATTCCTTCTTGTCGTCGCTGTTTATTTGGCCGATTCCGTTTCATGTGCTTTTTGTTTTACGAGCATAAAGATAAATTCACACGCAGCTGCCAGTGCCATCGCCACGCAGGATGGAGCCAGGATTGCACACGTGAGTAAAGGGAGTGGGCGGAAGGTCAGGCCTGGACTACCCGCCGTAAACGTTTTCGGTCGTCCGATTTATTTATTTATTTATAGCAACAAATTGCAACGTCAACTTAATCACCGAACTCTATTAGTTGTGGGGTCGGCTCCTTTTTGTGCAGGATTTCGATTCCGCAGTTGCCGCAGTGTCTTTCGTTACGCTGGGCAGAACTCATTTCACGGACTCTGTACAAAGTCATTTCTTTTGGCCTCTGTGTGTGTTTGTGTCTGAATACGCATTTGTATCTGTATCTGTATCTGTGACTGTATCTGTGACTGTGTTTGTGTTTGTGGATATGCTTCATTCCCCCCACGATGGCCCAGTGGGCGGCACTCAATAAAACAACTTTAATTAATTAATCATTATTCTCTGGCCGGGCAATTCTGCTTAGGCTCCATTGTTTATTAAAGTTATCCGGCGGAATGGTATGCAGAGATGTGGAATGTGGAGAGCGGGGGACTTGGAGGCCGGAATTGGATTACAATGCTAAAAACTTAGTGGCTTAGTCGCAATGAACGGAGGGAGTGACTCTCCCCTTTCAGACTGCAGAGCGCCTGGCTGGCTCAGACAGGGAGAGATGTACAGTGGGTGATTTTGTGGAAGGAAATTATAATTTTTGAGCATTCAAATTAAATATAAATGATCGAAACTTTGCTGTTTCCTAGTTTTGGGAAAACCATATTTTTACTGGAGATTCCGAGAGGTTCTTGCTTAAGTATTTACAATTAAAAAAAAAAAAAAAATTAAAAATGAAAAATGCAATTAAAATTTGAACATTAAAAACGGTAATTAAGAGCACAAGAACATATAAAAAAAACAATTTTTATTAGGGAAATTAAATGAAATGTAAAATTTTCCTATAATATGCCTACGAAATTATGATTTTAATCGCTTTTTCTTAATTGGCAATTAATTTTTGCTCCTCTAAAAAAATGCATAATCTCCCACTGTACGTTGGTGGGTGTTTTGGGTCTAGGGCAGGACTCTTCTGGCAAACTACTCTCCCCATGCTTATGCCCTACACACATGATTCATGGATTTATCTACGACTTTGGCGATAATTAATTATATTGGCTTTGCTTTTAACCCTACTCTAACGCTGATTCTGATTTCCGATTTCGAGTCTGATTCTGATTCTCATGCGCTGTTGTTTGCCATTATTCACTCATGATTCTCCGATGCTCTAACTCTAGATTGTATTTGTAAGTACGATAATAGATAGTATTGCTCTCTGGATACACTGGATGCACCACCGTGCACAACAACAAAAAACAAGACACACAACAAAATAAAAAGAATTTCTTAAGATTTTTTGCATCTTGTCAGCTTACAACTAGAGTTGGTTGGGGAAAGGTTCTTTAAGAGGGAGTACAATCACTAGCTAACGAAAAGCTCAACTACTTAACCTACAAGAGAGAGAGAGAGAGAGAGAGAGAGAGAGAGAAAGAGAGAGAGAGAGAGGGAAAGGGCAAAAGTCTAGAAGGAATTGTAGGGACAGGGGGGACTCAGGGGTTTAATCACATTGTCGAGTGGGGTTGCAGGATAGGGTGCGAAAGATGACTGGCTGACTGGTTGGAGCTACCCTGGAGAGGGTATGACTTATCTAGGCGTTATCCCTAATGCGTTTGATTGCTTTAAGCTGATGATTGGTCAGTTGCACACGCGCTCTATCGAGGGGGAAGGGTTCTTTTCGGGGGGGTTTGTGGCGCGTGTCTGTTCGAAAATAATTGCTTGGTGTTTGCTTCTAATTGACGAGGACTTGGGCAGGGGGTGAGGACGTTGGTGGTGTGGTTCTAACCTAAGCCATTCAATGGCACCGCCTCAACCTGCACCTGCTCCAACTGTACCGCGGATGCCTCCTCCTCTTGGGAGTCGCCCAGCGAGAGACGCGACTTGGCGGCCGTCTCCATGGACTTCCAGGTGCCGCCGCTCGTCGCTTGCTGTAGGGAGATGCGCGGAATGGACTTGCAGCTGCCCATTATGTCCTGCACTTTGGCATCCTCCGATTCGGCGAGGGCGCTCAAACTGCAGGCAGCGGGCGGCAGAATGCGATGGGGAAAGCGCGGTGAGCCCCTGACACGCTCCCGCAGACTGGGCGACGGTTGCACCACCGACGGTCGGCGGCTGCTGGGCAGCTGAAAGTTCACTTTGGTCTCCAGCAGCTTCACATACTTGCCATCGACTTGCTCCCCCGAGATGGTGGAGATGGAGGGCAGCAGGAAGCTGGGATCCTTGGCCAGATGATCCAGATGGGTGCCGCTTTTGGTGAGTGAACCGCGATGGATGGCCTTCAGATGCGTCGTGCGCCCATTCGAGTTGGACTCGACGTTGGCCTCGATGCCCGGCTGCTGGCTGGGCGAGTTGTAGATGGCATTGCAGGAGGCTGTCTGCGAGGAGGGAATCAGGCGGGTGAACAGACCCATGTGCGACTTGAAGGCCGCCTTCAAGCCCTTCTGGCCATCGGCCAGACTGGCCGTGGAGCCTTTGTTGCTCGAAGCGGTGCGCGAGAAGATGCCCCTGAGGCGATCAATCAGTCCCGTCTTTGCCTCGGCGGTGGCCTGCTGGTGGGCCAGTCGCAGATTGATTAGATCTTGGGCGGGCAGGCAGGCAACCTCCTCGAGCTGTGGCTGCGAGGCAAATGTCACCGATCGACGCATCGGGATCTGCATGTACTCCGCCGAGGGCCAGCTGGCGCGCGGTATCACCGGCGGGAGCACGGAGAGCAGCAGGTTGGGCAATATCCCGGAGATGCTCGGGGTGCGCGGCTTGCTTGAGGCCGGCGTCTGTGACAGTCCGCTCGTGACGGTCAGCTCGGGCTTCAGATGTCCGTGTCCGCCCTGCAGCAGCGAGGTGGACGAGGATGTGGTCGTCGAGGCGGTGCCCAGACCGGACTCTAGCAGTCGCTCCAACTTGCGTATCTCCGCGTCCAGCGCCTGGATCTCCTTCTTGTAGACACGATTCTGGACCTCCACGCGATACTGCAGCTCCCGGCGATCATCGACCACAAAGCGACGCGTATTGCATTCCATTTTCAAGCCCATGCTGTGGATAACCGGATCAATGATGTCATCTGGGGGGGAGACAAGATTAGGCTATGGGTTAGTGGGGATGCTGCTGTTCGTCCACTCACTTCGCGCCCAAATGTCATGGAGCTTGGGTATAAACAGCAGACAGAGTGTCGCCGTGGTGGATGTCAGAATGAGCGCCGTGATGGTGATGAAGGCGAGCGTCACACGCTCCGAGATGAGATTTGCCAGCACCACGACAATGGCACTCGTGATGACCACACTGTAGACAGAGACACCAATGTACTGGGAGTCATTGAGGGCGGGTATCTTCACGTGACGCGTCTCCCAGGCCATGTAGACGCCAACGACCAGGAGCAGACCCTTGTAGGCGTACAGGACACTCAGCCAGGTTTGGGTGTGCTGCGAGCGGCATACTTCCACCTGAAGGAGGGGGCGCACCGAGGCCAGCAAGTGGCAGAGAGTCAAGAGGGGGGAGTCAATTTACAAACATTGGATGCCAATACACAAAGGATGTGTGGCTGGCAGGCGGAACACCTTACCTGTGGCTGGTACACAACACTCCGATCAATCGCGCTGATTTCGAGTGTCAGATTATGCAAATGTCGCTCCATGGGATCCGTCACCACCCAGAGGGTGACCAGCAGGGCATCCACCAGCAACAGGCCACACACGAGCAGTATCAGCTGGATGTCCTGCAGCATTTTGTCCTTGAACACGCTGCCGGTGCGTGTGAAGATGCGGTGCACACGGTAGGTCTTGGCGAACATCGAGCCAAAGGCCAGCGAGAAGCCAGCCGACAGCAGATAGACGCGTGCCTGTCAAGGATATACGTATAGGAAGTCCTTAAGGATGTGTGTGTGTGTGTGTGTGTGTGTTGGTGTGTGCTTTCGTGTCATGTAGCAAAAGAAAAACAGAGACCCCAAACCGAAAACAAGAGGAAAAGGGACCGGGAAAGGGGAAAACAACTCATCAATGGGGAGTAGAGTCATGTGGCAGGGCTGGTGGCATGTGGCACTGCGTTTCAAATTTATGCAAATATCACGAGGAATATCACAAAAGTTGTACATTTCTCTGTCCCTGTCCCTGTCATGTGTTTTGCACTTGTTATCCGTGGGGTGAGGCGTGTGGAGGCTGTCCTGCTGCGGGACTTAACAATAACAGAACAGAAACAGAAGCTGGAAACAGCAAAAAACAAAGCCAGAGGGAGAAATAGATAGGGAAACCGAAGGCTTAGATGCCCTTAAAGCCAATTGGCTAGCAGGAAAATGACAAACAATAAATATTTTAAGCGATGTAAGCCAGCGGATCATGCAATTCTGGTAAAATATTTGCGGAGATTTGGTAATTATTATGAGAATATTTTCATTGAATTTTTAAGAGAGAATGTGGTAGAATCAGATTCACATGAGTCTCAACCAATTTGGAAATTATTTGTATACTTTCTACGGTAGAAAAACATTTTCTGGCTGTAAAAATACTTGCCGAGATTTGGTAATCTTTATGAAATTATTTTAGTTTAATAAGGAAGACAGAATGTGGTCTAATCATTGCTGTTACATGTGTACGAGCATGCAGCACGTTTCAAAATTTAAGTCAAAATATTAACACCCTCTGCAAGAGCACAACAAGGCCAGAGGGCCAGAGGAACTGCAAATTTCCCTGGAGTGGCGTTTAAAGCAACTGAAGCTGAAGCTGAAGCTAAAAACTGAAGCTAAAAAACAGAAACTGAAGTTGAAGCTAAAGCAAAAGAGGACATTCAAATGGACAGGGGACAGGGGACAGGAGATGGCAGCATTTGAAAATCTAAAAATCTGTATGGCTGCCAGTTGGCTAGAGCTTTAAGAGCTGCTGCTGCTCCTCGAGTGAGTTGGAGGAGCCCGTCAGCTATTTATAGCCGGGGAGCAGGCTCTTTCTCCAGCTACTCATCCGCTCAATCCACACATAAATAAAGAACAAACACATGAGAGAGGGAGAGGGCGAACGCGACTCACGAAAGTTGTTGGCAGGCCCAGAAAACTGAAAGTCATATTTGATGAGAGGCGAAGGTGGGTGGGGGGGGACGAAGAGACCCAACCCACGAGAATGCTCGAAAAGTCAAACAAAAGAAAGGCAACAGAAGGAGAAGCTGTGTAGTAAGGAAGGACTCACCGTGCAGACTGTGGCAAAGGAGTCTGCCGCCGAGGGCAGCGTGGAGTGGTCCAGGCCCAGCAGGATGACGGTGGCATACACGAAGATGCAGCCCACTGCGGTGATGTTGCTCAGCTTCGGGCTGGAAAGTTTAATTGCCCTGTGGAGGAGAAGAAGGATACAGGATTGAAGGATTGGATACACCAATGAAAAGTGCAGAGTAAGCAACAGAAAGGCAGCAGCAGTCGCAGCCCCCGTGGCAGGACTTACTTAAGCTTCCGAAAGTGCAAATTGAAGGCAAGAAAGGCAATGGCCAGGGCAATGCCCACGCTGGACAGTGTGGCGATGGTGTAGAAGGCAAGCGGCGCTATCGTTGCCACACGCAGCTTGAACACACGCTTGGCAATGGGCACCTGGCCGCTGTGCCACTTGACCGGACGGCAGCGGGGGCAGCGAAAGTCCAGCGCATCTGTGGCGGGATAGTACAGGGCAATGGGCTCCAGCATGCCGCGTTGTATCTGATAGAAGGCAGTGGTGCCCACACGATCTGGACCGCTAAAGGAAACGGGACCCTAAGGGGGAAGAAACAACCAATCAAAGAGGAGTCAAGTCTCTAGCTCTCTCTCTGCTCACTCACCGATACGCCCAGGAAGTGGAGTTTGCCCATTTGCTGTAGAAACTCCCAGGCCATGTCGCTGCGTGTGTAGTCGAATCCATCCAGCTTGGACTGTGCCTCATTGCGCCGCCAATGCTCCTCGGAGGCGCGTAAGGCCAGGGCTATGGCCCAAACGGCATCGTAGGTCTGTGGCGCGTATTGGGAGATGGCCTCGGGGAAGAGGCCGTGACTGCCCGTGGCACGCCTGCGCCGCCTGCTCGATGCTGCATCCAAATCCGCTTGTGGTGCGGCACGCTTGCGGTTGCCACCGACTGTGGAGGAGGATGCACCATTCTGGCCATGGAACTGTTCAAATTGTTTGCGCAGCTGCGAGTTGAACATGTGATTGTTCTGTCAAGTGGAATCGAATGGAAATGGAAATGAAAATCAAAATGGAAATGGTTGGAAATGACTGGCGATTAAACACGCCACAGAAATGCTGCAGGAATATGGCTTGTAATGAGATTGCCTAGTCCTCGCGGCGTCCTCGAACGAGGCACTAAAATGGCTCATAAAAACGCGCGCAACGCAGTGGCAATCACAATCGCAAGCAAGGACATGCCCAATGGGCAATGGCTGCGTGTTTGTCTAATCAAATAAATCATTCGCAGGGCAGGCAGAAGGAGGAAAGGAAAGGAAAGGACTTCCTGCTTACCAATCCACTGTAGCTAACGTTATTCCCCACGATGCTGTTGTGTGTGGACACCACAATGAGATTCTCCACGGCCAGCTGTAGCTCGTGATTGGTGCAGTCTGTGCGCTGGTCTGGCCACCAAGGAGCGCCCATGCTCTCGTGCAGGATCCAGGCATAGTCCGCCCCAAACATGCGTAGCCGGTAGGCCTCGCAGAGGATCTGTGGCGCCAGCTCCTGCGAGAAGCTGCCGATAATGATGCGCGTGTCTGTCTCCTGAGGGGCAAGAATCAATTGTCATTAAAGAGGAAACTCCTAGCTGCTACTTCCCCGTCTCTGCTCACCCTCAGCAACAGTAGCTGCTCCTTGAAATCCGTGGCCGCAAATGTTATGGTGGCCGCACAGGATATGTTGGCCGCCTCCAGCTCCGTCACCAGATTGTTCACCGCCAGCGAGTGCACCTCCTCGTTCTGCGAGAAGGTCGTGACCGTGCCCCAGCCGAACCGCCGGATGAAGGCAATGCGCGCGGGATTGTGCGAGGAGTCCGGGGCCACAGTGCGATAGAAGTAGGGAAACTCGCGCCTGTCGCTCAGCGCCGGCGAGGTGGAGCCAAACGAGACCTTTCATTTTGGGGTGAAAAAGGGAGTAAGCAGTTAGTCTGTGGGTGGGCGTGTCTGTGGCCGCTTAAAATGCAAGACATGCCTCAAGGAATGCCACATGCGAGTCTACAAAGTTTTCGCCCGCTCATTTAACATAATTCTCGTGAGCGGCAAATGAAACTTCAAAGGTTAAATGCAAATGTCGGAATAGGGAGAGCGGAATGACAGGGATGGGAATGGGCGAGTGGGATTGAAGAGCGGGAAGGCAGAGCGGAATGTGAGAGTGGGATTGAAGAGCGAGATAGCAGAGTGGACTGGGAGAGCGGATTAGAAGAGCGTAATGCAAGAGCGGAGTGGGAGAGTGGAACTGTGGAACGGAATGGAACAGCGGGGGTGTAGCATGCATAAGTGAATTTTGTGTAGCTCATAATTTTGTGATGCGTGCAAATGTTTATGCCTTGTTTAGGCCTTGTGGTTTATGAGGTGCGTAGATCCTGTGAGCTCAGCCATGGCCTGCGCTCTCTCTGGCATTTATGCTAATCGAAACGCGTGGCACGTGAGTTGATTAGGTTGCTGATTGAATGAATTCTTGGCTCTGGCTATTTGCATTTTAATCAGCCACAATCTACTCGCTCTCTGTCGACTCACCTGCACAATATTCCAATACGGCACCACCTTGGCCAGGCTCTCGGTGACCTCTGAGCAGGCGGAACCCAGCAGCATGACCATGCGCGTCGAGGGCTGTGTGTAGATGGCGTGAAAAAAGCGATCCACACCCACGCCGGGATCGCACTGCAGAGAGAAGAGTTAAAGAGAGAGAGGGAGTGGAAAAGAGAGTGTGATAAAGAGAGAGAGTGGGCAAAAGAGAGCGCGAGAACGGAACATTATTGTGGGCACTGCAGAGGAATTGGAGTTGGAGTGTTCCCCGTTCAGTGACTCGTTTCGGCATCATAAAAACGCGTCAAGATGGCGCAATAAACATTTTTAAAATGTCAACTTTGATAGAGACACACACAGACATACGAGATGCGAGATACGGAGAACGAGTCTCTCCCTGTATGCGTGTTGTACATTTGCGTGCCCCATCAAAACCAGAGACAGAGAAGAAACGGCAAAAAAATGGCAATAAAAGAAAGCCAAAAGACGAAAAAGCAGACGATGAAAACGTTGATGACGTATTTCCAGCCAGCAGCAGCTTCCATCTTCCTTCTCTCCTGCTCTCTCTGGCCTTCTGCCGCTGCAGATTTTCTTATTAAGTTTTAATGTTGCACGCGCCACTAAATGAAAATTCAATTTCGTAATGGAATGGCCCCACACCCATCCTCATTCCCTTCCTAGAAAATCCCTGCACTCACCTGCGTGTCGTTGGTCACCAGCTCGAGGGTGTAGCCGGGCAGCAGCTGCTTGCGGTTAATGTGCTCCACGGCCATGGTGGCGGCACCCAGCTCCGAGATGCCATCCGGCCGCGGGCCGCGCTTCGTGGACAACTCAAAGAGTCCGAGCAGCACGATTTTGCCATGATTCTGTTGTATTTCCGCCTGGGACATGCGACGCTCGCTCTCAAACACCTGATTGACCTTCAGGTAGCGCTGCTGTGTCGCTGGCGGGGTGAAGGGCTGCGCGGAGGAGTTTGTGATGCTCGGCAGATTGCTCTGCGAATTGAGACGCTGCCGTCGCTTGACTTTCGTCCGTTTGTACTTCCAATTGGAGCGATGCTGCGGCCCCCACAATGGCAGCTGCAGCTCCGTGTGTGCAGATCCGATTGGAGGCTGTTGGCTGCCACTAATTAAGGCATTGCCACCTGCCACACTGGGCTGTGGCTGTGTCTGTGGCTGATGCTGGTCCAGCTCCACGTTGAGTGCCTGCAGCTCCGCTGACGACTCCATGGCTGCGGCAGCCACAGCCGTCCAGGCGAGGCCCAGCACCAGGGCCAAACTGGGGGCCAGCCATCGGCAGTATCTCGTTTGGGGGCAGTGAGTTATGCGCATCCCGTCGGCCATGTGCCCTGGCTGGCCCATTAATCACCAAGGCATTGGGAAAGGCAATGTCGGTATCTATTGGTAGGCCCTATACCGGCTGCAACTGGCTATCAAAGAGGGGGACAGCCGGGAATATATATCGCCTTTTTATGCACTGTTGTGCCGACAGGATACGCTTATCGTTTGCTGCTCCTCTTTCTCCTCCCCCTGCTGCTGTGCTCCTGCTGCTCCTTTTCCTCTTGTATTGGCGTCAATTTTATCGCCTTTTTATTGGCCTCACTTTTGGTCTCATTTCGTTTGCTGCCCGCCTGCCATTATCTGTGCTTTCTCACACACACAGCCACACACTGACGCTGAAAAGTATTGGAACATAAAAATATGCATCCTCAAAGAGGGGAAGAAGAAAGAGCAGAAGCAGAAGCAGGAGCTGGAGTATGAGTATCAGTAAAAGGAAATGGAGCCATTGTGAGAAAATTTGCCAGTAAGGAGGAGCAGTAAGGAGCTCCTTGAGGCAATTTGCCAGTTGCAAAGGATTAAGCTGTGAAGTCTTCGATGTTGCTGCTACTCCAATTTCACTGCTCTCAGAGTTTCCCTCTCTTGCACCCTCTCCGTACCACTCTTTATCCTTTATTGTTGCTGGCTGGCCTCTATTTTGGCCATTATTTTTTGTGCTAATGGCCCAACAAGCATTTTGGCGCTTTGCTTTTCATGTCGAGAGTATCACGCGCCACAGATTTTCGTTGCTTTCTGCATGCGCGTATGCATAATTGTTTCGAGATTACCAACCACTGCACGGCGTACCCCCCATTCCCCCCATCCACACTCCATTACCACTTTAGCAACGCTTTTCCCACTCACTCTCTCTCCCTCGCTTTTCTTTCTTGCTTGCTTTCATTCTTGTCGCACGCTTAAAATAACTTTTTGGCCCATTTTGTTCGGCACTGAGTTTTGTTCTTCTGTACGGGGCAGAAACAGGGGGGAGTGGCAGTGGCAACAGTCGCAACAGTGGCGTGCCCGCAGGGGGGGCAGCTGCTTCTTCAAGTGAAGGCAATGCCTATTGCCCACTGCGCCCAGCAGCTCCATCACTCAATGCCCGCACTCTACACCCACTTGGCTGCTTAACCCCTGCTGCACCTGCACCTGCACCTACAGCTGCACCTGCAGCCCAGCCACGGTTGACATATGCCCTCTGCCCTGTGCTTAACCCACTCTCTCCACCCCCGAAGCCCGCTCTGCTCCATGTAACGACTGCCAGCCGCCAAGCGAGTCGTGTAACTAACATTTCATATGTTGTATGTACTCGTACCTGCAACACATTCGACGAATCTCTATGGCTGTGCTTATGCACTGCGGGAAAGTGCTCCCCAGGTCAACAATTTAATCTGCTAATGGAGTGCACGCTTAAGAAATTACCCAAAAATAATGCTCAGCTTTGAGAAATGGTTAAATTTTCATTACATTTTGATTCAAAATGACAGATTTCGGGACAGTGATTTAATTTTGAATTTAATCCTTAAATGGGCAGCATTTGTTGCCAAAACTATCATGGGTAAATATTCTCAACTTTAGAACTCTTCACTAAACAAAACTATCCTCAAACTCAATGGTTTTCATTTTATTTGAAATTTTCCAAGAAACTTTTTCAGGATTGATTGAAATGTAATTCAAATGGAGACGTTTTTGTCACTCTTTCTTTCTTTCAAAGCGAGTTTTAATACGCATGTCAAAACATTTGAAACTAAATATGTTTTCACTTTAAAACTTCTCAATTTACATTTGAAAGTGGGAGAGAAATGCTTGTTAACATCAGTTACCATCCCTCCATCCATCCTTCCATCCATCCACCATCCATGAAATTGTGAGATTTTCATTAAGGTAACAATTGGAAGTTTAAAGACCATTCCACTCCAACATGAAGTTTTGCCCTCTTTTTGGATAATAAACTATTGCACTTTATCAAATAACTCTACTCGAAATGCAGTAAAATTTTATATTTAAGACGTAGACAATTTTCAGATGCATTTTTTACTGCTTTTCTCTCTCTTAAAACATCAAAAAAAACGTGCAGTAAAACTTTAGTTGAACATCAACATTTTTATGCAGCTGTTAGCTATTAAACAGAGAACGAATTCCAGTCTTTCCATTTCTACTTTCATTTCAATTAAATGGAATCATGTAGATTTATGACACATCTCTTGGCAGTGGCCAACTACCCAGACTAGAACTTATTTCCTCCCGAAATAAAGTACTCGAATTTTTGCTGCAGTGCATTTATGAATATTTAGCTACAGCCGCTGCTCTGGCTCTGTTCTGCTTTTGGTCCTTTCTATTATTCTGTCATATTTCACAATTGTTGCCGTGGTATTTAAACCTGCACTTATTTATGGCCATGTGTGCAGTCCTCCCACACACCCCCATAGTGCTCTTTTCAGCCATCCATTCAGCAGTCGGTCCTTTTGCTCCCTGTGTGGCCATCGGCCCCCGCTTTAGTTGTTGTTTTCATGCTTGACATAAATTATGCAAAATGCTGGCTGCATTTGTAATTCTGAATCCATTTTGTACGCTGTGACGGCAAACAGCGAGAAGCGGGAGGGAAAGTGAAAAAAGAAAAAGCAACTGCAAGCCGATCCAAGCTGCAAACTATCCTAATTCCCATTTGAATTAATTTTGGACGGGATTTTGCTCACTCTCCAATCAATGATCAGCGGTAGAACAAAGCCATCCAGCCAAGTGGCAGCTGCCAAATGAACTGTGGATTTATCAGGCAACAATTTCCACAGAGATTGCCACACACAATGGACGAAGCAGCAGCAACCCACTTAGCTGCTCGCAGCTGCAACATGCAAAAAATAATCTCAGTGCTTGTAATCTCAGTTTTCTCGGCTCAGCCCTGGCGCTCCTTAGTCGGAAATTGCATTCATAAATATTGCGTATACGCCACATGGCACACACACACGAACACACACACACACACACACACACACTCACATGGAGACACTCTTAAATGACAATTTATTGGCAGTTGGAAAGACGTCGCCGTACATATTTGAGGCAGGAGAATAATTCTATTTGTTTTATTTACTTCGAACCAGAGACGAAAACGCAGACGAAGACGATGGCTCGAAGGATGCCGCTGGCTTTCTGGCCCGATTTATGCGAGATTTTTTGTAGCTCCGACACGCACGCGACGAGCTTCGAACCGCAACTGTTGGTACGCCGTGGCAGGAGCTTCGCTTTTGACTGATAAAAGTCCGAGATTGAAGGATGCTGCAGAAAGGATGCTGCTGCTGCCCTGCCTTTCAATGTTGAATGTTGAATGTTCAACCGGCTTCAGTCGGCGCTCTCTCTCTCTCTGGGCCCAGCCACTGCGTCTGCGCTGCAAAAAGCGCGCCAAAAATTCATTCATGAAAAGCCACAGAGACCCGAGGGCGAGGAGTACTGGGGAGCACAGGGGCAGCACGCAACAAGCTGTAGGGAAAATTGAAAAATGTTGCTGTGGACAAGTTTAAGTTTAAATTATGCAAATTAATGCCCAACATGAAGCTAAATAATTTGCAACTGTTTTAATGAAAAATTCATTTATCCTGGCGATTGCCAGCAAGGCAGGCGGCACAGGCAGCAGGAGGAGAGGGCTGGAGCGGGGGACAGCTGTCGATTTGCATTACTCAAACGGCACAGCGAAGAAGATTGGAATCCTCTGCAGAACAATGCCCGTTGCTGACAGCAAGGACACTCTTAATTATGGCTGTGCATTCGATGCTGTTCGTTCGTCTCCTTCGACTTTCGGCAGCGGATGGATGGGTTTTCCTTTTATTCATTTTTCCCTCTGAATAATGCCTCAAAGTCTGAGTTGAGTTGAGTCTGGGCGCTGTGTTTCCAGCTGCCCTTTTTCTTCGTTTCGATTACAGTTTTCCCTTTCGCAAGTGAAAAATAATTTGATTTCTGCTCCGTTTTTCCCATTGAAAAAATTGCAATTAATTGCTGGCCTTCGTGCCCTTACACCCCCTCTTGCTATGTCCTGTGTAAGTTCATTTTATGAGCAGTTTCCATTTGCAGAAATGATTCAATTGAGCAGCGGCAGGCAGTCAGGCAGCGGCGTCAAAGTTGGCGATTATCTGCAGCACAGCCGCCGCGACGCCAATGCAAATTTGATGATGCGACGCGACTCTGTCGCTGACAGATACACGAGCTCATGGAGCAGGCAGCCACAATGGCCATGGATTCACAGATTGGATTGCGACCCCAGGGGATGGGGTAACACCTAAAGGTGACACAAATAAAATGCAGTTACACCGCAAAACTCAATTCCAAGTGTCAAAAAGTTGCACTGCACTTAAGAAGTTAGCAAAGGGAGAGGCAAGGACACACGTCCAGTTACCTCCGCAACGTCAGAGCGAAAGGTAAAGCGGATTACGAGCAATTGTGGACAAATAAATTCCGGTGCATGACAGGCGCCCGGATATTCCAGTTAATTTATAGTCCAAATGGTTGATATATTGTTTTGCCACTCGCGCGCGCGCCTCTCATGTTTTGCTTATGTTTCGGGCCTGGTAACTAATTTTCCAGGCAGTCAGCACCAGCCCCTGGCCCAGCCCTCTCCCCATTGAGCGGTTGATTTCTCCTTCTATGGCGGCGCGGCCTGACGGCCTCCATTTGCATTTTAAATGAGTTCACTGGCGGCGGGGGGCTGCTGCTGCTGCTGCCAACTTTTTACAATGCCACTTGGAAGTTGTTGGAACTTCCCCTGGCTGGACTTTGGCTACTTTCACTGCAGAGTGTGGCAGGGCATTGGTTAGCCGGAAAGTGTATTTCCACATTCGTTGCGACCCCGAAGCGGACAACTATTTTGTGTGTGTTTGTTTGTGTCTCGTATTTGGCTCTCTGTTTTGCGGACACTTGGCAAATTGGCAGCTCGCAGCTGCCACAATACAGAGGCGGGGCGGGGCGATGGCAGACAGGTTGTAACAATTTACACGTTCCGTTACGGTGCCGTGGCGCACATGGCGTATGCGTAATTTAGTGCTTGCATACTTTGAGCCGCAAAATTTGCACTTTTGTGACTTGTTTAGGAGATACACTCCACGCTGTCTCTGGCTGTGTCTGTGTCTGTGTCTGTGTCTCTGGCAGCACTTAAAATCAGAAATTCAATTATCTCCCACACACACGCAGCGCCCCCATGGGGGTTTGGGAGGAAGCGTCTCCATTTCCATTTTGCACGCACTTTTCACACCTGCGTGGATACCGCTGCCTGCCTCCAGCTGCTGCCCCAGCGTGCCTCTTCGGAGCCTCTTCTCTCTCTGTGTGTGTGTGTGTGTGTGTGTGTGTCTCATTTCTGGCTATTCGCTTAGAGTACAACTTTATTGTTCCTCCGAGTTTTTAGTTGTCGCTTTTTGCCGGGGAAAGTGTTGCCTCTCCCCCGGCCACACTTCATGCCACGTTCCCAGCTTAGAATTCAGATATAATGGCAGCTCCTGTTGCGCGTGTATCCTTCTCCTTTAAGCTGTTGAATCCATCGAAAATCTCTTCAGCCGCTCGGCTGCTCTTCGCTGCTGTCAGAACAATTTAATTATAATTTCTTGTTCTCCTTTTTTTTGGGGGGCTGCACAAAATTCATTATCGTTGGAGGGAAATTAGCTTGAAAACAATTAACACCTGTTCGCCGGCTGCGCTTGGCAGGAAGGAGGCTCTTGGCTACGGCACCAGCACCGCACTTCTAAAACTAACAACAAGAGGAGGAGGCCCGTGGCACGGTGGCCCTCCTCATGCCCTCCATGAACCACTCGCTCCAGCTACAGTCCGGATATGCCGCCCCTTTTTGTCCTGGTGTCTCGCTACGCCTCTCTCTGTCTCTCTCTCTCTCTCTCTTATTCTAATGAAAAAAGTTGCACAAAAAAGTTTTCAAATTACAACGGAAATCCGTGAAAATCCTTTTAACAAAGCAAAACATGACCATCAAGGTGGGGGCGCGGCATGGAGTTGGGACGATGATGATGATGCTGCTGATTATGATGGCGCTTTAAACAGACTTCTTCCATCTGCTGCAGGGCCTCAGACTCTTTCCCCCTAAAGCACGTGCCACCCCACTGTCGCCGCAGCCCACCCATGCCCAGCTGCTCGTCGAGGTCCATCCATGCCGCGGTTTGCCGCGAAAGTGCGAATGCGAGAGAGCTGCGGCTGAAGCTTGTAAATTGATTTGGTGCCACAACTGGCACTGAGGCGGCACCCGAGCGACAATGGCCAGCGAGGAAGAAGAACTTGTAGTAGATATGGGAGAGTGGGGAGAGAACTACACTTTGCACTTTTACAGCAAACACACACAAATCGATGTTGATTTGGGTACAATAAATCCAGAGAAATGAGGGAATGGCAGTGTCAATATCAGAGCTAGAATTGAAGCTTTGATAAGTTGTTGTTTAAAATAAAGGTTGCTGGATTAGCTCTGGGGAGCTTAAAAGATAAGCGTTGTAACGAATATTCACTTAGATTGAGGCACAGAGAAGCCTCAGCAGTCATACGGGAAGCAACTAGAATTAATTACAGAAAGAAGAACCCAAACAAGAAGATATTGGATCAAAAACAGCTTCCACGAATGAACAAAATACGCACACGAAACTAGAAAATCAGAAGAGGTTAGAAGGAGGATTCTTCTTCCACAATTCATTCATTTTCGGTACTCCCATGATCGGTGCATGCATTCATAAATCACTTATATTTCACTCACCCACTCACGTCACTCACTAATTACGTTTACTCATCACTCATCCCACTCAACCGCTGTACATGCCACACACTCACGCTGCCAGCACTAGCAGCACAAACCACACAGTGTTCAATCTTTGAGAAGACATTTCCACGCACTTTCCAAACTTTATTTATTGACTGCGGTTGAGACGACGCCGGTACGCCCCCACATCACTCCTGAGTCGCGCACTTCTGGCAGCAGCAGCCGTTGCCTGCCGTCGGGAAACTTTTAATGAAAAATATTCAATTTTTCAGGTGTTGCAAATATTTAACATTTTGCAACTTTCTGCGGATGAGTGGATATTCATGCGTGTGTGTGTTTCATCTGTGTGTGTGTGGGAACACCCATCATTCCTCCAGCCATTCATCTTGCACCACTCTACACGTCATGTTGCGAGTTCCACCTGCGGTTAAGCGAGTGGTTTGCTGCGCCCCATCCCCATCCTCCCTGCCAGCACCGCAGCGGAAAAAGGTTTAACCAGTCCGTGCAGGGGCTGCAGAAAAAGCAAAGGCAAAAAAATAAAACGAAACTCTAAAGCATTTTAAATGTTAATTAAGAATGGAACGAAAGCGGATAATTTGCATGTGCCCGAAGCCTGGGCCCGCCGTTTTGCCCCCTAAATCGAATTAGGTTTTTGTTTGAAAGTTAACGTTTTTCGGCGTTTTTTTTTTCGAGCCCCTCAAATTGTATTAGCCAGAGCCAAAATCTATAGGGAGATGGAGAGAGGGGGAGCGGTGCATTCGCTGTTGGTGCGGCCCTGAGCTAAGCCCAAATTGAAGTTTATTTGATTTGCGCTGCAGATCCTGCAGCTTTAACTCGATTGGGTTTCGATTGATTGACATTTGTGCGGCTTGATTTGGTTACATGTTTCGGCGGTGTACGAGATTTCATTGCTACAAGGCAGCCAGCCAGCCTCTGGTGGAGCTACATGTATGGGTTGCTGTTGCTGCTTGTGGCACAGTCCATGGACTGTTGAGTGTCGACGGTGGCAAGGCTGCTTTTATACACGGCAGAGCAAGAATTTGTTTCAATTTGTTTCAATCTTGTGACTCTCTCTGAGAGTCATCTCTCTCTCGGTTAGCTTTGATTGTTTCTGTCTCTTTCTATGCACGTAAAATCAAGCCGGCTCCAAGGTATATTTAACAGATGGCAAGGGACGGCAGTGCGAATGAAATGTATGACATTCCATGCAGTTTTTTTCTCTTGGGAATTCTACTTTAAAGACTTTACTTGTACACTTGACTCGAGAATATAGAATTTCCTTTCATTTTTAGACCTTCTCCCTTGCAGCATGCGGCTGTGCGAGCATACAAATTCGGCATCATGCACACGACATTTACGTTATTTTTGGTTACTTTCAGCAGTCTTTAGTCTTGTGTCTAGATGTGTGTATTTTGTTCACGGGCATATATTTCCTTAGTGCAACCCGCTGGCAGCTGGTATTCGGAGCCGCATAC